TAATCTGCGTATGCTGATACTGATACTTACAACAACCCTGTTTGGGAGTAGCACGTTCTGCTCCTTCACATTATCACATACCTAACAGCCGTAACCTCCTTAACCTTTTCGAATTAAATGTGCATGTGCAGCGTGTGGTGACGGAAGAATACAGAGTGTCAACACCTGTGAAGGAAAACTTGATACAAACCCTATACCAACCCGTCTGGCCAGCGTGGTATAGTAGGCCAAAAACCTCCTTCCTAAGGAGAGGCCTACGTCCAGCGCTTGACTATTTAAGGCTGATGATGTGATGTGACGATGATATGATGTGACGATGATGTGATGTGACGATGATGTGATGTAACGATGATGTGATGTGACGATGATGTGATGTGACGATGATGTGATGTGACGATGATGTGATGTGACGATGATGTGATGTGACGATGATGTGATGTGACGATGATGTGATGTGACGATGATGTGATGTGACGATGATGTGATCTGACGATGATGTGATGTGACGATGATGTGATCTGACGATGATGTGCAGCGGTAAGGCAATTTCCAAACAACATATTCTAGTAAAATACATATTAACAACATGTTAAAAACAAAACTAAAATGTTTTATTGAAAATGTTTTATGAATTGTTTTTATTGAATAGATTGGTCGTATTTATACATGTAATGCTTCCAACAACCTAGACATTGACGATCCGTTACTTGGATCGGTGCTGCTGGCAATTCTGCAATTTCTCCCACAGTATTAGGGACAGTCGTACTATAAGTCTGCGTAGCTTCACACACTTTTTCCGTTTCTATTTGCGTGCTATGACCGGCAGTTACAAATATTGTTTGAGTCTCAACACAGGGATAAAGGTCGGTTGTAAAATTACATAATTGCGACCGACCTTCTGGAACTAATAATAATAGTCCCTAGTCTGATACTCACTGTTTGAGTTTTCCGTTGTTTTCTTGTGGGTGAGCACTAATTGAGCCTTTTTAACCGACTTCAAAAACACAAGAGGAGGTTGTCAATTCGTCTGTATTTTTTTGTATGTTGGTTACGCGATATCTCTGTCAATTGCGGACCGTGGAGATATTAGTTATGGAAAATTAAGAAATGTGGATTTTTCCTACCTTATCTGAATAAAGTAACGGACTTATGAAACCATATTTAATATAATCTAACATACTACAGTTTGGTGCTATACATTACGATACGTACTGTTTTAAATATCGTACTTAGCTACTCATTACAAACATATCTTACACTAAAAATGGTAGAATAAATCCTTTAAAAAAAAGTTAAACTGGCTTGAAACAATATTGACAAAGAGCACTAAAAACAAAAAAAAAATATAGCAATAGTCCCTTCTAGTCTGTTTGAAGTCGGTGCCAAGCCAATACAGGGGGGGGGGGGCAGCAAACGAGCAAACGGATCACCTAATGGAAAGAGACTATTGCCGCCCATGAACGCCTGTCACTCAAAGGTCACAAGCGCTTTGCTGGCCTTTAAGAAAGGAGTATGTTCTTTTCTTGGAGGTTTAAAATAAAATAGAATTAAAAATAGGATTCCATACCGCTTAAGTTTTAAATCCTATATTTATAAATATTTAGTATAAAAGTTTGTTTATCTGTTCGTCGGATACAAAGTAAGGGTACTTATCCACCACCCCTATAATTTTCCATCAGGATCACGTTACTTAAAGTACCGCCTTTCAGGTTGAAGTCCATCCACTAAAACTACCACTATAACCACTATAACTGTTGCATCAGAAAGCAGCAAAAGAATTTATTATTAACAACAGAATTAATTTATTGTGTGTATATTGAAAAGATTTAACTTTAAATTTAATCATTACACATTTTTCTTTCTGTATATTGAAACATTTATACGATCAGAGGTCGTCGGTCGAAAATAGGATATTGATTGACTTATCCTGAGCGCCAATATATAGACACACAACAATATTTATTGAACATATAGCGATGCGACAAGTTAGTTGGATCGCTTCTCTCGAGGGAAAAAGAACCCAAAACATCATATTTGTACAACCAGTACGCTGCCAATAACGTGATTACACTTCGAGTTTGTTGTGGTAGTTAGTTTGATTTCAGTTTCTAACTAGAAATAATACGGATTAGCCTTTGTGGACAAATATTTTTTCCTTACTGATAAAATTCACTTATAATTCTCTATATTCGATTGCAATTTGAGGTTATTAAGATTTTGAACGTGGAAGTCATGCTTCGGATGCTCGACCGGATTTCTGTGAGGCCGTGGTAGCGCTAATGGACCGACCATTAGTGCTACCATGGCCTCACAGAAATCAGTTGTTAAGCAATGTCATCATCAACAGTCTTTGATAGTTCTATACTGGACATAAGCCTCTCCTTAGAAAGGTTTTGGCCTACTATTCCACGCTGGCCAGACGGATTTTTTTAGAGTTTGTTTCAAGTTTACCTTCTCTTTGTAGTGCTGTTGTCTTGCAGACTTTCCTCCCTTAGTCGGCTCTTATGACACCCTTAGGATGAATAGGGGTGGTGACACTATATTCTTAATCAGTCACCACACGGACAAGCTTAAGCAATGTGGACAAAGGGATTCTTTCGTTGCATTTCACCGACCCTCATCCCATGATTCTGGAGGGAGGACTCAGTGCGCCAACAGTGACTGAGTTATAGATTTTCATTGATGGCGGTAGTTACTTTCGTGATGGTAAGTAACTGCTAATGAGCTCACGGCTCACTTGACTGTATACTCGTTTGCCTTTCACTACCAGAAAAAAAAGATACAACCATAATATAGGGGTAGCCATTTATAAAACAAAGTTCAAGGGTACAATTATATATTAAGCAGTAAGATGCAAGTGGGATGTCAATTAACTTTCAAGTGCGTGTTTTGATGATATCGACATGTTTTTTAGTAGGAATAGTAAGTAAGAGGTAGTTTCTTTTGTCGTACAAAAAATCTTTTAACAGATTGTTTACGTGGATATAAACTGTGTACTTAGTGTTGGTGTTGTAGTGACAAACTGTTTCGGACTACTTGTTGGGACTTTTACATACCGCTCACAAGATCCTCGGTTCGGCTATGCAAGAGAAGGTCCGATCCTGTATTTACGCTTCAAATCAAAGGCTCTATCTAATCCTAACTTAAAGGACCTAAACCGGAATCCTTATAACATCACTTTGTTTTCCCTCTGTCTGTCTGTCCGTCTGTCGTAACTCGCGTAATTTTTTATTGCTGTTAAAACAACTTTCAGCTTCAATAGTTCGGGTAATTAAATTACCGGTGTTACATAGTAGTAAGATCGGTAGTAACACGGGCAATAAAGGAGAATAACTTAATTAATGTCTACGTTACAAATATATACATTTTGAATAAAAATTCTGAGAATATGAACTGAAAAGAAACCCAGTCCCAGTCCATTTTTACCCACGACGGTACGGAGAAGGTATATGCGTTTAGGGTAAGGGATGTTTATTTGTGTGTGTGTTTGTTTGTGCAAACTAATGTTGCTAGTTGTCTCCAAAACGAATAGTCCCATTTTGATGCGGTTTTTAGTAATAGGTTTGTGGTCTATTGGTGCTGGATCTTAGATGGGTTGACGGTTGTCACTCACAAGGGGGCGCTGCAGTAAACATTTGTTTGTGCAAACCAATGTTGCATTTATCTCCAAAAGTACTTGTCCGATTTTGATACAGTTTTCAGTAATGGATTCCTGGTTAATTAGTGATGGTTTAGAGACAGATTTTACGGTGTTTACTCATTAGGGGGCGCTGCAGTAAATGTTTTTCCTTCGTAAAAATGAGTTTTTGCTCGTTTTTGAGGGTTGAATCGTCCTGACAGTTTGAGACTGCTGTTAATGTGGTTGACATGTCAACGTTGTTATGTCGCAGCGGCGCCGCAACGTTGTTATGTCGCAGCGGCGCCGCCGACGCCCCAGCAGCGTTGGACAGTCGCTTAATAAAAATGGATCGTAAAAGACTGTTGTTGGCCCTACTATTATGCCACTGCCGAAATCTACGTAGAAGAGTACGACAATACTGGATCAGTCCTTTTATTGCACTAAGGAACAGTGATGGACAGTTTTTTCTCCAAGAATATAAAGAGTTGCTGTTAGACGAAAAGAGGTTCTACAATTTCTTTCGAATGAGTGTATCAAGTTTCGAATGTTTATTGAACTCTTTAGAACCATATATACGGAAACAGTATACTAACATGATGAATTCAGTAGAGCCAATAGAAATGCTAGGCATCACTTTCGAGTTAAGTAATAAAAAATATTTTCTTTTAATAATAATACTTTTTAATTTTCAAAACGATTCAAAAAGGAAATCTTAAAAATCATAATCAATCTTATTAATCTCCTTAATATTAATCTTGAGAAATCGTAATTACAAATTTGCAAAATCGTACTTTACGATGTCTTGAGATGTGTCACCTGTTTCAATGAATAACCCGAGTTCAAGCCTGTTGCAGTGTATGTACTTCTGTAACTTCTTGTATGATACCCTTGTATGATATATGGCAAAATAGCCTTAAAAATTACAAGTGGCGATCTTCGGGTTCCTTAAGGGCTCCTTAAGGGCTTTTAATGCTTCCTTCCTTCCTCCTGAAAATAAAATATTAAATCAGTTTAACTAATGTTAATCATCTAATCTTCATAGATGAGATTTTATTATTTAAATAAACATTTTTGTTACAGGTACCTAGGAAGTGGGAATTTACTACAAGATTTGGAGTACAAATTCAAACGGGGAAAATTTACGATATATACGATATAATACATATATCTATGATTACGAGAGTTTGTCGTGAGTTGTGTTTGTTGAGAGACAACATTCCCGAACTAACAACAGAAAGACTAAAATCTTGCATCTAGTTTCGATTTAAGGGACAATTTTCCTCACTGCATCGGTGCTCTCGATGTGAAGCTTATTCGCATGCGTAATCCTGCTAATAGTGGCTCGCTTTTTTTTTATTACAACGCCTTTTTCTCTATAGTGATGTTAGCTGTTGTGGACTCAAACTACAAATTTATTTTTATCGACATTGGCGCATACGGTAAAGAATGCGATTCAACTGTTTTGCTAAGTTCAAAACTATATGAGAAACTCATTAACAATGACCTACCATTACCTGATCCTTAGGCAGTGTGGTTCCAATAGACGAACTCCGTATGTATTTGTGGGTGACGTAGCTTTTGGACTGAGTAACCACATTACGCGTCCATATGGAGGTAACAATCTTAATGTTCAACAAAAGGTTTACAACTATCGTCTCAGCAGGGCCAGAAGATATATCGAATGCGCTTTTGGGATTATGGCGACTAAATGGCGCATTTTTCACAGACCGATAGATGTCCTATAATTTTGCTACTGACATTTCATTTTTCAAGGCATTTTTCCTACACAATTTTCTTCAGATCGGGATGGTTTTCAGCAAAAGGATAAATTGACAATAATTGATGATAAATTACATTCACTTCAACCTCAAGATGAAGAGATGACAGCAGCAAATGTTATTAGAGATGAATTCACAAGCTATTTTGTGAGCAACAGAGGATCTCTACAATTGCAGTTACAGAAGATTTTCATCATTAAAACTGGTTCTTTATATATAATATAATTTTGGCAATAAAATTTTGGCAATTTGCTTCCCATGCTTTTGTTTCATATTTTTATTTTTAAAGTCTACATTGGACTTATCCCACATAATTTCCCTTTCTTGGACTAATGTTATGAGGTAGTCCATATCAATATCTTCTATGGTGGTTCCATTAAAAAAAAAACTAAGAAAAAACGAAACGAGCGAGTGTGCGCCTGTGCGTGTGACGCATAAACAACTTAGCGGTACCACTCCGACGTCGCAACGCATTCATCCCTCCCCGCCTTGTCTCGGTGTAAAATGTGTGTGTGGGGGGGCCCCCGCTCTTACTCTGGGCCAATGAACTTCGCGCAAGTATCGTTGCAAAACGAAACTAGGTATCAGAGGGTAAGTCCTTGGGGCCCCAGTATGGGTGGAGGCCCTGAAGGCCAGCAACGTTGCCTTACTGCGGTGACCACAACGAGTGCTGGCTATCAGAGTCAGTAGGGAGAGTCACGATCTCCTTTGAGGTAGCGAGTCTCCTGGCCGGAACTCCACCATGGGGACCTGGAGGCGAGAGCCCTTGCGGCTCTATCAGTGGCGCAAGGAGACGCGAGAGTTGGGTCGGAGTCTTGATTTTCGAGAAATCTCCGCCAGTCCTCGTCGAGGAGCGGAAGGAACGACTTGGGCAATCAAGCGCCGGGCACGCTACACGGGACCCTCTCATACCGGCACACGCTGGTGACCACGGGCAAAGGATGCTCGTGGCCATCGGAGTTTAAATTCTCTCGCTTAGTACCATGATTGCGGCCATGGTACGAAGCAAGAGCCCGTGGAACTTCGCCGTCACCTTCTGCGACAAAGTTATGCTGGTGAAAGAAAAAGGAGCGAGGAGGAAGCGAAGAAGAGAAGATTTCCTTCCTAGGGTACACCTGATTCCCAGGGTACACCTGATTCCCCGGCTACTGGTGCCCGAAGCGGCGTGCGGTTTTTGGTCGGTTCAAGTCCAACATAACCACCGGTGGGTCGTATCCGAAGGGAAAGAGGGGTAAGTCCTAAATTCGAAAGATGTATCTCGCTTTAACGCATTACATAACTTCCCTTTGCTCAGTTGAAGCTCGTTAAACTTAGTTTTTACCTTTTATTAGCGTATTTTTTTTTATCAGCGTACTAGCAACTACAAGAATGATGATTGGGAAAATGCTGATGAAAATGCTCCCATTGAATGGTCTGACGCTTATAAAGTGACATGCTCGTAGCGAATTATCGAAAATGCAAACTGCAAATTCGAATAATCGCCATTTCATAATACCCGAGCGTGTTAGATTTTATACTAACAGTTCAGCTTAAGGTTCCTGTCATGCTAGCCGAAAATATTTTAAATCTGTCGGTTGCAAATACTTTTTATTTTTACAAAATACAGAAAGCCAGGAAAAATTATGTAGACATTTAAAGATTTCTTGCAATCTTGGCTTCAAAATAAAAAGAAAATGTCAAGGTCATGTTTTTTTGGAACTGTGACCCTACCACTGCTTTATGTCACGCTAAAATCGACAGATTTTTATAAAAGTACTAATGTGTATGTGATTAATCTAACTTACCCTTTCAATCACGTAATTTATGAAATTTATAAAAAAAAAATGGCTATTTATAGTATCGTAAAGTTATCAAAGAATAAATCTGCAAAATTTTACATTTAGAACAAAAAATAAGCATTTTATTAAAAAAATACATAAAAACTATTTTATTATGCCTTTATATTACTAAGGGTGAGACAATATAAAAAATCAATTCATTCAGGATTAAAGAATCATCACTTGATATCTATCATTACTTATAGTGTGGATAGTGGATGACTTTTAAATTGTACATTAGTACGAAGAAGTCGCCAGGAAATTATTGGAACGAAGTTTCTTATCGCACGTTGCGAAAGGGGGCTAGACGTAAAAAATTTAGACGAAAAGTTGTAACGACACTTTTTGCTATAGTAAGCTATTGTTAAGCCGTGCGCATCTCTGTATATATATCTCTCTCTCACTCTTATAGAAAGCAAGCCAGATATTTGTTTATATTACATTATATTTGTTAATGAAAAAAAAAATTAAAACTTAAAAGAAACAATTTTATTACAATTCCTTCACTAATTAATCGAAAGGAACTTCGTTCCATCCGGGTGTCCCTTGATACCTCTCAAGTTTTTTTCTAATCAAGAATTGTGGGTTGGAAGAATTTAAAAAAAAATCCAACTTTCTGAGTTGGTAACCAGTTTCGAAACCAGGTCTCGATTAACGAGAAACAATTCTGTTTTGAAAAAAGATTTCCAACCATTAGATTCCAATATGGCCGAAGGCATGACCCCTTCGGCCATATTGGAATCCGATTACAATAATATTTTAAATACAACTTACTTTTTCGTATATTGTTTAAACTTTCTTCTTTATCATCCGTAAGTACTAGACCTTCCAGCGAACTTGTAAACAAATTATTAGCAGTAGTTTATTCTAAAAGCGTATATTTTGTAATATATACGTCATTTCATTTGTCAGTTTTTTCTAATGTCTTCTAAGCTCCACCATAATAATAGCATTATTTTTGATCCCCTTCATTCGTGAAGGATTTTAAATTGAACTCCTATTTCCATATCGTTGGTCACTACTCTTGGCGTTCGTCAGAACTCTGAAGAAGAGCTCATTTTACCAAATTTTAATATTTTACCAACTCGTATGTATACGTAAATAAAAATATGTAACTTTGCTTTTTGGTCAAGGATGTATCACTGCATTAATATTGATTATTTCAATCTTATGTTTATTATATTATTACAATTATTTTTATACAACTACAACAGCACAACTTTATAACTCACACGCTAGTATTCAATTCTGACTGCTTCTGATGGTGACGTTTGAGTTTCAAATATTCGAAAGGAGAATGACGAGTTGGAACACGTACGATAGAGGTTGCAAACCTTAAATTTGCAAAATCTTCAGTTTGTTAACATAAAGATAGCAACACACTGTTTGCAATCTCTGTCGCTATTTTTTACTTTCTGAAATAGTTCAAACACATAGTTTTCCCCAAAAAGGAGGAACTTCAAATTTTAACAAGAGTATAGTAAATTAACATAGCTAAAGCACTGAGTTATACGAGAAATCATTATATTCTTGGAAAAATAATAATAATTTAATACATCTCACACAAGGACGTCTGATACCAAACTAGGGGAACTAGTGTAACCAGACTGCTGTTAAACATATTTATTAATTTCTACATATATTATACGTGTATTATACAGTATATTATATTATACCGTGTAGATTACACGTATATTATAGATTTGTGTGGTGACAGATTCAGAATAGGCAGTGTCACCACCCCCATACATCCTGTTTGTATCATAAGAGCCGACTAAGGGAGCAAACTACGCAGGACAACAGAGAGCAAGGAGAAGGAAAACTTGAAACAAACACTATACCGAACCGTCTTACCAGCTTGGCAAAGTAGGCCAAATCCTCTTTTCTAAGGAGAGGCCAATGTCCAACAGTAGTCTATAAAAGGCTGTTGATGAAATGCTTGCAATTAAAATAATATATAATAATATTCAGAAGCCATAACGCCATCCGTTGGGGCTCAAGAAAGTCCTCTACTTGGCGTTCAACATACTCAAGACCAAAGAAAAAAGGCAAACAAAGTATCTCGATCCGTTATTATGCCGATATATTTATGTATGTACCTATCTATAATATTATATAATTTAGATATATGTTATATATATAATTCGGGGCTACAACCAATATGAATTTATTTTTATGTTTACTGTATTTTCGCCGATAGCTACCCACACCGTTCACAAAAGTATGGTCAATGCACAAAGTGAAAATAATTCCTTTTTATAAAAGGTTAAACCGACTTCAAACAATTGCAACAAAGGGCACTAAGAATTAAAATAACTATAATTCTAATTGAGAAGACTAAAATAAGTGCGACCCTCAACATCATAACAGGTAACATTAAAATAGTAAATGGCTGCGGATCGCACAGTGACTTAAACGGAAACATCGCCAATTCCTACTGCCCTGAGTGTCGTGAGTTCGATACACATAGTCCCACATTAAGGACAAAACTTTCTGTGGTCCATGAATTGTTGTGCTGGGCCTGGATGTTCTTTATGTCCGTTACATAATTGTTCGTAAATTCTCCCGCAAGACAGGCAAAATAAGCTAAATCAGGTTGTCTGGACTGTAAAATTTGTTTGGATCGAGGAAAAACACACAAAAAATACACCCGAATCGAGAATCTACAGTTTTGTGTTTTTAAAATCGGTTGATTATCAACCGATTTAAAAAACGAACGGATTTTAAGTACGGACGTAATTATCTTGCACCTACCGACTATTACTTTTTCCAAAATTTAGACAACTTTTTAGTGGGTAAAAAATTCAAGAGGCAGTACAAAATGCTTTTGAAGAGTTTGTTGCCTCCCGTCCAGCTGATTTTTACAAGAAGGGCATCAATAAACTGCCAATGCGTTGGCAAAGATGCGTCGATTGCATGGGTGATTACTTCGAATAACAGAAATAAAAAAGTTTGAAAAAATAAGTACTTTCATTTATTACATACAAAACGGCAATTTCATAGGTAAAGACCTAATAACATTTTGGCAAGTACCGTGTTGACATATTATCGTCAGTGAAAGTGTATTCAGGGCCTCGAAAAAGTTTATCTATCGATTGGACTGTCCGTATATCTGAAGCATAAAAAAATATATCTATCAAGTATTCCGAGTTCAAAAACTGTACGAGGTGATCTGTAAAAGTGAATGATAAAAGAAGGTCAGTTTAATTTTATATTGTGAAGTGTAATGAAATACCATAAAAGTCTATAAAAAAATCTTTAGATTTTATAAATAACCTTAAAACCCTAAAAACTACAATAAGTCTATTTTCCACACATTGATCAGCATTGCTGACTTACTATATTACTCTCCTAGCGTTAAAGCCCATACGGAAAAATGTAAGTTTGCATTTAACTAGGTTACTTAGTTTTGTTTCAACACGGTACGCCGCCTAGATGAAAAATTCTTATTAATACACATTATTAACAGGTGCGGAGGTTGCTGCGGTGGTTGTTGCGGGGGATGCTGCTGCCCTACTATAACGATATATACGTGTTGCACGAAGATTTGCTAGTGTTGGCAGCGGCACCAGTGCTCCATCTGTAGCAGAATACCATGGCTTCATCTGCACAGATGTATGCATTAGTGCAAATCTCTTATTTTTAGTGCCGTCTTGTGGATAAATATACTATTTAAGAGTAAACGGTTTTTTTATTTTCTAACCTGGTTATACAAAGAAATCGGGACACGCAGCCGTAGCCTCCTCGCGGCTTGCCATTATTACGGGTGAAAGGGAAACCCACCCCTAGCCATACTCTGGAGGGGGCTGTTCCACTAGTCCCTACTAGCTGTCCCTCCTGGTGGGGACAAGTAAGTTTTTTTTTTCACACCGTCACTGGTTGTAATGAGTGAAATTTCATTTCCACTTATCCCTTCTAATTAAATCTTGACGTATTGTTGCATAGTTTCGATCAAAATAGCTATGTGGCAATTCCAAAACGATATGCCCTAACGGGTACCAGTAGCCGGGAACAGGTATACCCCTAGGATTGCACCAGGGACTTCCTTTCTAGGGTATACCTGGTTCCCCGGCTATTAGTACCCGAGACGGCGTGCGGTTTTAGTCGGTTCGGGTCCGACATGCCACCGACAGGTGGTATCGGAGGGGATTTCCGCACGGAAAAAAAAAAGTATACCCTATTAAGGAAACCCCCACGTGTGTGGGAACCACAGCGCCTCGCAACCAACCCGACCTGCTTCTGCTAGGGTGCCTCCTGCCTGCGTTTATAAGAACGATCTCCGTCCTCGAGTTGTCTGCGGTACCTGACCGCTCCCAGGCCTGGTGGGCCGGGAGAGTTCTAAACCTAAGCATAACTTGCTCGCAGAAGACGGTGGAGTTCCACGCACTCTCGCTCCATACCAGGCGGCAATCATGTTAGTGAGAAAATTACCAATCCGATAGCCGTCACGAGGTCACGCCTCTGCTCCACCCACGCCGGGCATTTGCCAGCGTGTGGAGAGCCGTGTCCAAGGTCTAGCCATCGCAAGGCGTTAGCTCCTTGCGGATCAGATACAGGTTATCTCCGAAGTATTCTTCACCTGCGTCGGCCGGGAGTTCCGTGATGCCTCTAAGAGTCCATCCTCCTCAATGTGTTTGACCTCTGGACCCGAGTACTTGCCGCGCGGCGGTCCGCCAGACTCCTGGGACCACCAGTAGACCTCTTTCCTCTGAGGCCGAAGACTTCGGATGCGGGCATGGCCACATCACAAATGTGCGTAATCGCATCACGAAAGCGACCCGCCCCAAAGCTGGCCAGTGTATTATGTTTGAATAAAAGGACATTAGACTGTACAAACAAACAATGTTGTATGGTTAAAAGTAAAAACTAAATCTTTTATATTTGACAATGTCTGGGATTTCATTCTGGTAGTAGTAAATTATTTCAGATAGTAATGTACACATTATTAACCCTTTAGTCACATAAAGTCCACTGAATCAAAATGTCCTCGGTATCATAATGTCCACATATTACAAAGTCTACAGTATCGTAATATCCACATATCATAGTCCACACTATCACAAGGTTTTATACACAATTCCTTTTATGTCCACGGCTGTGTAGTAGTATATCTTTTGTAATGAATGTGGTAATGCATACTGGCTACTTAAAGCGATTGTACCTGGATGACCGGTTTTTTTTGGTAATCTTTTTTCAATACTCAGTCCTCAATACTTTAGCTTCCAAATACATAGGTGATATAAATTTAAGTATAGTAACAATTATAAACCTTGACGGGCGCAGCACAGTTTGTTTGGGAGAGAGGAATTAATATTTTAATTATTATTAATCATAATAGCTATATAATTTATGAATTATATTATTTTTGAATATATTATCCATCTTCAAAATATTCCCTTATACTGTAGTAGCTTTTACTTAGAAGAAAGTTTTAATTTTTTTGTAAAATAGTTTTATTTCCTTGTTCTATGGTTTTGGGTAACTGATTGCATATTTTTATAGACATTACAAATGGTTATGAGTGCATTTTGAGTCGGGAGGCTGGTAGATTAAGTTTATCTATGTCCGTTTGGATTGAGGAGTCACTCTTCAAATCGTAACGAAATTAATATATTATTTAGTAGTCATTTAAAAAAAATTGTAGCCGCGATCCTCAATTTTGTAGTTTAATACTTTTCAAGTTATATGAACATAAAGGTGGCTCCTCAATCTAACTGTTAGGATTGAGGAGCCACGTCAGAACTAGGAACATAGCGGATGTATATTTATGATAATTTAGTATGATTTTGTAGTATTTGACATTAATTAGTAGACAAAATCTGACCTCGGTAATGTTAAAATAAAAAAAGTTACCATACTTTATATATGTGGCTCCTCAGACCATACATACGAATGTCATTTTTTAAAAGAAGCAGTTTTTCAATTGATGCGAAATTTCTTCATCATTTAGTAGTAAGTATGTTAAATATGTAGTGTAAAAATCAGTAATTAAAAATGAGTGAATTAGGAGATATGGTACCTACATTTTAACTGGCTCCTCAGTTAAGATGCTTCTGTAAATAGATTTGACTTAAATATACTTATAGGAGGATCTACTTGTGAGGCAATTTGGAACATACTACATCAATATTTAGTATAAATTAATACTAAATGTTCGTATAATCCTGTCATAAAAAAGTACAGTATCTACGAAGTTATTAGCAATTCTTTAATTTCTTAACAATTTTTTTTGTACGGTGTCCATGAATAACTTATATAAAAGGTATTTTTTGTTTCGTAAAAACAAATCTATTTCATTTTATCTAATTATGGGGTCATTCTAAGTTATTTCGTTACCTATCTACTCTCAATCATATATTTTTTTAGAAAATTGATATTCATTAACGGTGAAATTGACTTGTTTGCACATATTAGCTTACTGACGTTTCGAAAACAAATATTTTTTAGGCACTTGTCCGAATGAACACTTTTAATTTTAATATTTTTTTTACTAATAATTCAACAACACCCAAAAATGCTATTTTGTACAGTAAGATAATAATCATGGTTTTCTATCTTTACATAGTATAAAATGAAGTCACTTTTTTTCTTTCAAAGATCATCCTTCCTTCGTCGAAAATTGGGGGGTGAAGCCGACACTAATATAACATCAACAAAACCAAAAATAAAATTTATACAAAATGGCAATCTATGCGATTCTATACCTGTCAGCAAAAGTTCTATTAATGTGAGTTTGAAAAATACATGTTGCTATGATTCAGTCATGCATTTCTTAAGTATGGGATATATTCAAAGTAGAAGTTTTCAAGAAACATTGAACAGATACTCTGATGATTTAATTCCTCAATACATTAAACTTTTAGCAGATCCTGTTGCTAATGACTGTGATATATACAAAATAATATAATAATTCTTTATTTCTTCTCACAATCACCAATCAGTACAATATTAACTTACATCAATAACTAAAATTAGAAACAGTAATTGTGAGAGGACTGGTGTCTGAATTAGACATAAGCCTGTAGCTCAGATCACCAGGCACTCACCCTTCTTAAACATTTCTTTGCTGTCAATACATTATTAATGCAAATCAAGGAAATACATTTAAAGTTCAGAGAAGATAAAAATCATAAGGATACCAATATATGAATACGAAACACATCTTAAAAGAAAAGGTGAAATAGACAACATGCCGGATACCTCAAAGTATGTTTTGCGCTTGTGTGAATATGTGTGTGTATGTTTGAATGAATGAGTATATATGCCTGTCTGTAGTGCGCTAATAGTGTTAGATAATGTGTTAGTGTAGTAAATTTATGAGTTAATTTGTTTGAAATATAAAGTTGTTACCCAAAATCACCCGTGCTCATAATTACTAGCTATGTAATAAACTTTCAGTAGTACGATAGTCAAGGCCTTTTAGCCATTGTATTATTACAGGCTTGTATGCCGATGTTGTATGATCGTATATTGAAAGAATGCGGTTTACTTTGTTGTAGAGGTAGGCGCCCAGATAACAGAAAAAGTGATGTGAGAAGCTAGTATTAAATTTGTCTATGTTACAGACTCTATCCTTTCTGCGCCTTTGGTATTGAGATCCAGGATCAAATACCACCATTGAATGTTGTCTGATCACAGTATGCAGGATAAACAGTTGGCGGACCGTTAGGACGTCACCTTGTAAATAGACATCAGTGGTAGGATGGAAGAAGGGTAAAAATGAACCAACTTTAAGTATAGCTCTCTGCGATCTTTCAACCTTAAGAAGATCTCTTTTGGCTACTCCACCCCAAGATGTTATGCAGTATGTTATTAACGACTGGCAGAGAGATAAGTAGACAGACTTGATCAAGTCTCTATCAGCCACATGTCTTAGATTTTTAAAAATGTAAATAAGCTTACGTACTCTTTTTGATAGATGCTCAATATGCTCCCTAAAACTCAAATTTCGATCTATCACCACACCTAGATATTTTATACTATCCGCAGACTGCAAACTGGGACAAGAACAACCTAACATATTTGAACTTAGACATGTGTGACAGCGAATACTAAAACAATCCTCTTCCACACCAGAACCCCTTATAGAAAATGTCATATATCTGGTTTTGTCCACATTTAGGGTTAACATGTTAGCTTGCAGCCATCTATTTACTATATCAAAACCCTTCTGAGCATATGAAAAGGCTTTGGTCCAAGTATCACCCCAAAAGAGTAGGGCAGTGTCATCTGCGAAAGTGCAGATTTTAGAATGGGGAAACATTTTTACAGAATGCGGTCCGAAATCGGTGTGCTGTATTTTGAAACAAAAGAAAGCCTCTGTGAATTTGCTTGTAATGTGTCCTTTATTTTTGAACATATAGCTTTAAAATATTGTTTTAGTGCAATTTTCAGTATAAAGTGTACTAATAATTCATGCCAATTTAGCCCAATATCTAGACAGATCGCATTTTTACCTTTAAACCTGAATATAATTTATTCCAAAATTTAGAAGATGCAATACAATTTCATTTGAAATAAATCTTTGTACGAAGTTTCGAGTAAGCGAGATACCAGAATCTATAACGATTTCAGGTAGATCATACA